AATCGGACCGAGGCAAATTTCTGTGGCCATAGAAGATAAGAATAAACCTTAATAAATCACTGCAAAATGTAAGGTAGAAACGTGACCTCTTTCCGAATCCATAGAATCTGATTAAATTTTTCAGCCAGAAGTGCAGAGCGAGAAAGTTAAAGTTCATTTCCGTGAAATGCCAATGGGAGAAAGCATTTGGAGCCGATAAACGTGAAATGCGTGTGTTGTCTGGAATGACAAAAGGGTCAATATTAACGTTGTTGCATTTCATAATAGTATTGTTAGCAGACTAATATTCTCTTCCTACTAAGTTCATATCGCAAATTGCTTTGGGATTTGTGCAGCTCTTCCTCCGGGAGCAATATAGTTATTGGCTCGGATATACTGTTCAATATAGACAAGTTTATAAATAACTCTAAATACTTTGCCGCTACTAGAAATACGAATGACAAATTGCCCAGAGATGAGCATTGTACCCGCCTTTGACCAACACATTACCGCACTTGGCTCGTTTTTACTGGACAAATTTAATTTATGGCCTGGGCGTAGTTTCCCGCTAAATTAACGAAGCTGATTTGTGTTTCCTGTAGTAAGTATTAGACAAACATCGTGATAATAATAGATTGGTTTCTATGCAGAAGGCCGTTGAACTCAGCCCTATTTTATGAAATTCTGAGAATTCGAGGTAATGACGTTCCGAAGGCATGGTGTTAGGTAATTGTCTAAAATATCCGCGTGTATTTTTAAAACGTTCTTAAAGACATTGCTTTGTAATGAAAAGTCACTCAAAACTAATTCAAGGCCAATTTTAAGTTTCAAATGGTATGTTTGCAAATATTTTCAAAACAAATGCCTTTTGTATATGTTATATATAGTTATGAGTTCACCAACTATGAAACTCATGTGTTTTATTTAGATTTCAGCAAAGGTTCTCTCTTTATCGAGTTTTCTATTATATTTTTGGATGGTTGCAAAATATAATGGCAGGCTGTCGTTTAGTCCCATGGGGCCAAACTAATTCCCGTCTTGTGTTAACGGCTAGACGTTACTTAAAGTACCATTAGGAAAACTGAGTGTATATGTTGCTTTTATTTAATTTAGTCGTTTACGCTACGCGGTTTTATTTTATTTTTGTTTGTGCTCCAGAGAAAGTGGCTTTTACTATTTAAAATATCCAAATCTACCTGATTAACAGGCATACATAATTAAATTCGATTTTCGTCCACAAACCCGATTCAAGTAAATGCGACAAGCTCGTGAATAATGCACATACTTTTTGACCTTCTTGCATGATCAACGTTAACCCGAGTCTTAGCGACGTGGTTTACCATTGAATCATGCATCATCGTTTGTGAAATAGAAAAAAAAGTGTTCGATTTTGTGTCTTTTTTCATTTGTCTCAAATTAACTGAAATATCAGTGAGTACGTTCCGACCACATTTTAAAAATGTTCCCAATTATTTTTATTATGGATAAATGGCTTGATGAGAAGCTGCGAACTCAATTAAATAGAGTAGTTTATCCAGTGAATGAAAAATCAAATTCTGACTAAGTACGGATTACGGCTGAGACCATTTTATCCATTCTTATTCCTGACTTTGTTTTGTTCAAAGTATATGAGATGTGTGCAGGATTTTGTTTGAGATGAAATTTTGTCAGTTTTCATAATATGTTCTACGGATTCTATTCGAATAAGTCTGTTGTAAAGAATCCGATGATAAGTAATTTTTAGGAAAAAAAAACAGAATATATCCGAGTAACTGGTTGTATTTCAATTTACTCACTCCGAGCGAACTAGTTTTTCTGAGATTAGAAATGAGATATCGAGGTCATTTATAGCTTTTATCAAACGAATGATTTCTTTGAAATATTTTTGAAACTATCCCAATATTTCATAACGTTTTTTGTGACTTTAAAATCTCACAATACGTTTAAAAATTGAAAAGAAAAGGAGTGAAGATATGGGTATAAAAATCGCCACAGAGCGTTGCATACAATTTTTCCTGAACAGGCGCACACAACCTTAAACCCATAATCCTAACTCTTCGATTTTTTGCCCCTAAAATTTTTGATGGTATGCCCTTACACTGTGATAAACCCTGAGGGCTAGTCATTCAAATGCGTGTCGTCTAGTTGTAGATTGTCTCGTGATAATAGAATATTTCAATGCATCAGTACCGGCGAATTGGCTAGTTCTGTTAACTAGTAATTACCTGATGACTCAAGTCATGAACTCCACGACCTTAACTGATTGCGGATGTGGTATCGTACGTTGAGACATTGTGCACGGAAGCAGAAAAATAGGAAAATTTATCAGAACTAAGATTTTGAGTTAAAAAAGTCTTTTTTTTTTTAATTAAAATCGATTTTTTTTCTGGGGATTTTTCTGTAGTGTTTCTTACTGCAACCCATGCTATATTGTATTATGTGACATTCAGACAGTTTACACCTGCCATCATCTAACACCATCTTTTGCACCAGACAATAAATATTTACTATGATTAGACAAGGCTTAAACTTGGTAAACAATATAGCGCATTCAATTGTATGAAAGTGGCAAATTGTATTCAATTCGCAAAATTATTTCTTCAATTTTACAAAAAGCAAAGTCATTATTTATGATCAAATTATAAGTTTAGTTAGTCACGGCTGAAATCGAGAATATAATTTATTGTTTGCAAAGGTATTACTCGCCTGGCATATTTTATTTTGATAAAAAAAATGTTTTTATTGGCCTGGTCTAGCGTTTTTTGCATCTGGAATTTTGCGATGAAAAACACGGTCCATTAGTCACCGTCGGTCTACCATCTAACCAGGAATGTAATTAACCAGGCAGTCTAAATTCTGGACGTAGAGCGGTACTCGTGAAGTAAATATAAAATTTCAATTCCCAATATATGTACATGGGATTTCGAACCGGCGTTCTGTGAAATCCGCGTACGAAAAACCTATTTGTACACTAAATCCTTGTATTAGAATTTGTCAAGTCTCTTTCTGAAGGTATTGATTCTTTTATTTATTTCATGTTCATGCTAAAACTGACGAAGATGATTAATAGTTAAATGGATCGTTTTTTTCTTTCGAGAAATTTGGACTTTCCATGTAGTATTTCGATGTACAATTAATGAGATGAAGTGTTCCGTGGTTCAAGAACGGTCGAATAGTCTTTTTCTACACGCAATCACAGACCACGTATCAGTACTTAATCCTATTTTGCAAGGGGAAATCATGAAATACTTGATAGACCGATCTGATCCCAAGTAATATGTTTAATAGATCTAGAGGGAAATCTATTTTGGTATGACTTGACAATATTGAGTAATTTTTGTCTGCGCTGAATACGACGAAAAATACACTTATTTTCTGTTTTTCGTCGAGTAGTATCGGCATACTATAAATCGTCCGTATGGTCATGTTTTTGATACGATGTTTAATAGGTATTTTTGCCTCGCTTAAAAAATACCAAAGAAGATAAAGTAGGCCACACAGGCTTTACGAAAAAAGTATATGCTAATCGTTAAGTCAGAAAATTGATGATCGAAGTGGTGTGATAGGTTTTATCGAGGTTGTAGAATCGTCCGTTTCACGCTGAACGATCAGGAGTTATGTGAATCCATCGTCGACAAAGGGCAGCGTTAAATAAATTTGTCTAGATGCCAAATCCTAATGGTTAAACGAAAAAATGGAGTGAAAAACAAACAATGCACAAAGGAGGCATTCTAGAAAAACGCAGATACGTACAGACAAAAGCAGGCATGCAGTGTGAATAAGGGGATTTTGGGCGGTTCCCTTAATGCAAGATAGAGGTATCGTTGCTGCTGTAAAACACTAGTGCAAAAGATTTTGTAGATTCACTCGAGGCAGCCTTGAAATTTTCTACACTAATTTGGATCTACTCTCAGATAACTAATGAATAGTTGTATTTACATAAAGGCATTTTTGTGTTTCAACAACTCGGTTAGCAAAATAGTTACACGGAACATGTTAACCAGCATGTTATACAAATATGTTATGATAAAACAGAACGTTTACATTCATTATATTTAATCACGTATGTATATGTCCGAAAGCCCACTCTAAATGAATTAATATTGGCGATATTCTACATGCATTTTTATATAACATTATCTTACCAGAATTGAATGCAAAGACGTTCTAACCCGGTGTTTCAATTACCCGTAACGTGTATAATATGAAATCATATGTTAAGATCTCCAACTGAGAAAGAGGTTTTAGTTTTTAATCTCGTTTTTTTTGCAACAAGTAACGTCTGGGGCGTTTATGACTGTTTAAGTCTCGTATTAGTGTGCAAGCAAGCTGTCACAATAAAGTAAATTTATAATACACGTATATGTGAGCGCTTGTTGCGGTCACCCAACGCCGTTCTCGCGATAAATAGCTTTCTTGAAGCGGTAGGATTAGTTGCGTCTTGGCGGCATGCTCAATAAACTGCTAATGTTTTTTTTATTCCTCACAGTATTAAATAAACGAGTTTTGCAAGTTTAAACAAATATTTAATGAATAAAATTTTAGTAAACTAACTAAATTTTTATAACAGTTCATCGGTACAAGATCGACAAAAAGCTAATCGCCCATATGGCAAGTTATAAACCAGGTGTATACGTTTCAATAAGACTAATTATATCTTAAGACTCGTATTTGTGCTCTAATCCTTCAAAATGGGATTGACTTGATTTCAGATGTGTTCACCGTTTCAATCAATACGTTAAGTGGGTATAATGAGCTTTACGGAGTTTTATACGCAACGAAGCAATCTACGCATTTATAAGAAACAGAAAAATATGTTTAGACCGCATACACACATTGTGAAAAGAGGAGTAGATTCGGATGTTATTGTTGGGAAATGAGTCAATCAAAGCCAGAGAGAACCAAAGAATTATAACAGTGAAAATAGCAATGAAGAGAACTTTTCACACAATCGCAGTAGAGTGTTTAGAAAGTCAAGAACTTTTATAAACGAAAAATGAACAATGCCTAATATAAATTATTCTTTTTTAACTTATTTTTCCAGTTTCATGTTGAAATAGTATAGAAATTTAATTTCTCTTTTTGAAACGCCGAAAGAATGGATTTCAAAATTGTTATTACTGTTCTATGTTGTGTTGTTGGTAAGTAAACATTTTGTTTTAAACATATTAGAATTATCGATTTCGTGGGAGATACACCTCGCAACTTCTGGGCACGAAATTTTGTTTATTTAGTGCTTGATGCATACTTTCCAAAAACTCTGTGTCCGCGAAAATGAACAATATGAATTGTATTTAATTCGCCATGCAATTGTTCAAACTAAATCCCAAATTAGCAAGCATACTAAATTTGGGTAATGACTGATGTAATTTATAAAGAATTTTGTTCGTTGTCAAGCACCATGCATATACGTCATATGTTTCGAACGAAAATTTTTGATTTTGGTCGGCGATCGATCAACGCAGTTGACCTGTGGGAAGCTTAGATAGTCCGGTATGTGGAGGGATTATATTACTTATCTCATAGTTAGTTATTTTTTAAAAAGGGTTCTCTCTAATACAAAAATGTCATCTTTCCAAGGTTTTAACAAAACCGTGACATGTGTCCGGTGACGTAAAAATGCTCTCGTCGTCAGCTAATTCTGTCTTTCTAAATAATAGCAGCAATTTATACCGAGAAAATAATTGTAATTTACGGGTATCTGACCTGTGATCCCCCTTCCACTGAACAAATTGGCATATTCAGACGGTGAATCAATGTCAATGAATGTTTGCTTGGTTTGTGGAGTAAAATTAACAATCCTTTGCAACAGGGATTTTTAAAATGAATCGAATACATCCAATTTTCATTAAATAAAACATTTTTGAATTTAGGATAGTTTTATTCAAAAATTAGAGATTTTCGGCCGTCAGACAAGACAGACAGATCAAAATGTGCGATATCTCTATGATAAGAAACAACACAGAGAAAACATTGACCTTACATAATTTGTGTCGTTTTAGATATGATCAACATGAAGATATAGCGATTTAAGTAATTTCATACATGAACTTGCCCCCAATTTAGATTGTGTTCAATATTCCATATTCGAAAATAATATTCCAGAATGTAATGGGAATAGTGAAAATTTGGTTTTGGTCATTTCTGCTTAGCAGTAATATTACTGGTGCCAAGTCAAACTCACAGTATATTTGAAATTGAACTGAATATAAATGTTTGTAACCCTTTTGCAGTTTTGACAGAGGGAGCAACGTGGGACTACAGCGCCGAGCACGGTAATTATTTCTTTCATGTTTAACTACTAATAAGTTAAATAGTTTAAATTATAACTAATCGATAACACACAGAAACTACCATTTTTCGTATGAAAATTATTCTGCTAGGTCTATATTAGACTCGTTCATATTTTGTCAACCTAACCATAAGCATGTTCTGTGAAACATGATTAACGAGCGAATTTGTTCAAATTAACATTTTTAATGAATAAATATTTAGGTCCTGCTAAATGGGGAGATGATTATCCAACATGCAATGCCAACAGTCAATCTCCAATCGACGTTGTCGGTTCAGTGGCTGAGATCGACCACGACCTTGATCTCGTTGACAGACGATTGTTCTGGAATCCTCCCACTGCAATGTCTATTGCAAACAACGGACATGGTCGTAAGTTGAATTTATATATATTAATTGTATACAATAGGCAACAACAATTTAGGATTATAAGTATGAAAATCGACCTTCCGGGCGATTTTATTACTAGATCAGCATTCCTGAAGACCAATGCCCGATAATCCGTTCAGATATTTCTGGAAAGATTACTTGAAGGTTAACAAGGTCGTTTCTCTTCCTTAATTATAAATAGCCATATTTGAATTCTTAAATCTGTAATATCGCTTCCAAAATTCCAGAAGTTACAAAATGATACAAGTACAGAAAGTATATCCTAGACTTGTGAGGTCAATTTCACACTGCGCCCCTTAGTGACAGAGGGGTTTATACAAATATCGGTGAGGTACCTTTGAATGATAGATACAAGTAAGGCCGTCCTGTCATACAACAAATGATCTATCTTAATTCAAAAAATATAACATAACAATTATTTGTTATTTTTTCAGTTGTGTTCAACATCGAAGGAGGTGCCTACGAGATTAATAATGATAAACTTCTGCCGTTCACTGCTGTTTTAGCCCAATATCATTTCCATTGGGCAAGTTCAAAAACCACAAAAGGCTCCGAACATTTACTTAACGGAACCCAATACTTCGGCGAATTGCACGCGGTACATTTCAACAAGAAATATGGCGACATCGGAACTGCCATCGACAAATCTGATGGACTTGCCGTTTTTGGATGGTTTATTGAAGTAAGTTTTTTTCTACTCAAGATTGCTGGAACATGGGTAACGAGCTCTTAGAAATATTACTTAGAAGAGTTACAGGCAATTGCTGACGAGATTATAAATAATCTAAAATGAAGTTTAAATTTGTTTGTCAAATAAGAGTACTAAAAGTAAGTAAGATTCGATCTTACCCAGCAGACTTTAAAATAATCAGTAATTAAACGCATAAAAATACTGTTATCGTCATGAAAATAGAAAAAAAGCAGAAACTGCCGTGAAATAGATAAGTTGTTTTTCTTTTTGATTGCTAGTGACTCATTCTCGTGAAATATGATTGCAAAAAAAAAATGAATGAGTCAAAAAAAAAACAGATAAAAATCTTTATAAATCAAATAAATCTTTAATATGAAACGTTAAAAAAACTGTCTGCTATTGATTTTAAATATGAAACAAAATTCCTGTATCATAAGCAGATAATCAGCGCTTTGGTTTCAACTATTTTGGCAATTCGCACATTCTAGGCTATTCATTATGCTCACCACCAAACACATGACGTAGCATATTTGCAGGTTCATCCTGAACCACAAATCGAATATGCTCAGAAATATGGTGGCTATACATATTGCATACACGTCAGTGACTTTTTGTTCGGAGGTTGCTGAAAAGAAAGAACCACATGATGAAAAATATTACTTAGGATTTAGCTCCATTATTATCGACCGAATTTTGCGTCGCAATTGAGGGTGTATTTCTGTCCAATAAAAATGTATCATCTTCATTTTCAGGTTGGATATCCACAACCAAATCTCGATTTTTCAAACTTTTTGACTCTCGCACTTTCTGGAGCAAAATACGGTCAAAATTCAACCTCCATAGCATCCTTGTTTTCCCTCGAAACCTTCCTTCCACCCGGTCTCGATGTCTACTACCGTTACCAAGGCTCTCTTACGACACCTCCCTGTCATGAATCTGTTACATGGACTGTTTTCCAAGATCCAATCTACATCCACGAAGACCAGGTACGACTACTTTATTTTTATGGAAAACGTCAAACAGGAAAATGTGGTATGCCTTGTTGATGGCACAAGTATTTAGGCACCCACTGGTCTAACTGACTAGTACGTAACAAACTTGTAAAATTCGGTTTGCCTAAATCTTATCATGGTCCTTCGTAGTGACAATTGTTATAAAATAGTCAGAACAAATTTAAAGCATCCCAAGCGAACAAACCAATGAATTTCATTAAAATTCGTCACATAAAAGGCTATTTTCATCATCCTAGATTTTTTTCTGAAACTCTAATTTCTTGCAGGCCGAAATTCTGGCTACTATGTTTTACGAAGACGATGGAAGCAAGGTAATGAAGAACAATTACCGCCCAATTCTGCCACTCAACGGTAGAAAAATCACAACTCCACCGCGTCTCGTGAGGTCCGGCGCTAGCGCTGTCAGCCCCACCATTATAGCCAGCTTGTTGACATGCATTATTGGTTATTTCATGTAGATTCTGCAACAACAAACAATAATAATTAATTCAAAACTGGACTTGGAATGATACATGAAACCATACACTTTTTCATTCAAAATTTGAATTACCCTCTTTATTAGTCAACAAAAAAATTACATTCGCATCTGTCCTTGTTGATTGAGCAAGCTTTGTGATTTTTAATCGTAATCGTTTATTGCAAACTGTTATAATATAAAATTATTTTTCGAACAACACACTTTCCGGTTAAATTAACAAAACAGACTGGTTCGAGAAAAAAAAGACTTTAATCAAAGAATGTGATAATCTGTATCTTTGTAAGCATCCGAGTCCTGTATGACGATGCTGCAGCTCAAATTTTTAGCACTTCAGTACCCATGATTCCACTGCCGATTGGTAATTTTGTAGAAAAAAACGTCGATCTTTATATCTAGAAATATACCAATTCAATTATTTTGTTGTCTGTTGCAACTATTTTACATGTGGTAAAAAGTAGTACTGGTATAATGTAACGGAATTACACATTTATAAGAACCGAAGTTACATTTTGTGTTTTGCTTTACCTCAGCCTCGTTGCTTCATCGTAAACAATACCTACAAATGCCCATTTCATTTTGTTAACTTACCACTTTAAAACTGAAGAACTTGATATATATTTCGACTGTTGGGTATTATATATATAATATATATATAAAGAGTGTAAAGATCAATTTCTTCATATACATTTTAGTAAGCTTAGACAGCGTGGCAGGTAGAAAAAATGATCGAGAGTAGTCCTTGATTCGTTTCGACATGACTCCAAGCTTCCTTCTCAGAGGCCAGAGATAGCGAACCTTTTTAATGAATGGGTCAAAAATGTTAATTGTGGTAAATAAGACCTTGGGTCATAGTTATTTAATCAGAGTTTGCATCCATGAGATCCTTGCCGTTGCATCTTCCCAATAATTCTTGTGATCTTTGGCTAGTATTATGTAGTTCTTTTGCTTCTCATGCAGCGCTTGTATTAGGACTGAGGCGATTTCTGGTACTCGACTCTTAAATTCGCAATCATACCATTTATAATTCTATGGCAACATTTGGCACTTTCAAAAAGTTCAGGAGGAAATTCCAGTCGGAGGTAATTATATATCTACTAGACCAGGGCTTCCCAAACTAGGGGCCGCGAAACGAATTCTAGGGGCCGCAAAGAGAACACCAATTTTCCACAAAGTACATATATCAATTGTTCTTTTACAGACTCTTGATTCGAAATACAAATAATAGAAATAGTAATTATTAATAGTTTCTATTGAACATTAGGGCTCATTTTTTGGGGATGTAGATGATAACGAGATTTTTTAATATACAAAATATGAATACTGATTTTATTCACTAATTTAATAGCACGTTAATAAGTTAAATTCTGAAAATTTGAGTTTCTGTAGATATTAATTAATTATTTCTTGGTTCAAAAAGCGTTGCGTACCCCATCCCCATCGCGATTTCGTATTTATATAAATCAGGCTTTTCTACCATGACCTAATAAATGTGATTTCACTGACTGTTGTTAGGTTTAGTTTGTTCGTTTATATGAAACTCATTGCAAAAAAAGGGTTATAGCACCATCACGAAATTTTGCGACGGCCTAGCTAAATTGAGACGACGCACTTTTATGGGACTAGGTAAAAAAAAATGAGCTATCGACAAAGTCTTTTTTAAGGGAAGCGCTTATGTTAATATCATTTTTGAAGTCCAGGCTTTGTCTTATTTTTTGGGAAACACGGTAGAATCCTCGCGCTTGCATAACAATACATATTCTGATCGCAAGACCCGATTTACGTGCTCGCATAACAATGCCGAGTTTAACAGCTAAGCTAGCGGTTCCGGAAGGCGATTTACTAAGTGCGCCTCAAAACATATCACATATTTTAGTATTCTAAATATTTTATTGTTTCCTATTATGCAAATGATGTGCATATGAATAAAATTCATTTTACCGTTCTCTGTTGTTTTCTTTCTGTTACGTTGGGTATATTGTTACATAACGGGTAAACCTTGCATGCTGCAATTTCGTAGGTCGCAGTTTATTCATTTCTGAACCGAGTTAGCGTACATAAGTGAGTTTTAAATATTTAAAAAAAAACTTTAAAAAAGGGTTAATTTTTTTCTTTTATTCATTAGGCTTACATGTTTATAGGCCTACATGCATTGTTGCCAATGGCCGCACGTCGGTATACTATAAACGTCCCTATTTCTAAGATTTGTCCTTATTTTGAAGGTCTTTGTCATAGAAAATATTTTCGTCCTTATTTCTAAGAAATGTTCTTATTTTGACATGTGTCCTTATTTTTGTTTTATTTTAGGGGTAGAAGTTCTTATGCCGGGCACTTAGATTCGAATGATTGATTTGCTAGAAATGATATTTTAGAACCTACGTGCATTCATGACGTAATGACAGCAATTAATAGTCACAATGACAAAACAATATCCTACCGGCAAAGATCAGTTCGTGTAACTTGAATCAAAATCCAACTTAGAAGTGAGATGGAACAGATAGTTTATAACAATAAAGAACTGCTGTAACAAATTCTTTCTCGTCCAAAGTAAGATTAGACACGGGTTTGCTGGGGGAGCTCTTTGCACCGGTGCCATAGGACGAGCTGTGGATGATTGGCCGATGGGGGTTCGGCTTCTGGCTCCGCCACGGGACGACCAGAGACGGTCCCATCTATCCCTTACTGGGGTACGCGTGACTCTCGGTTGGTGGTGGACATGCGTACGTCTGGAATGATTTCCGTTCGGTTCACGGGAGCGGGTACGTCGATATCTGGGGCCTTCCTGTTCTCTCGGAGTGCTTGTACGTCTGTCGGGAGGAGAGGGACGCCCCCCAAAGATTCTATCCCTTATTCTTCTCCCGACAGAACTTCGGATTCCACTTCCAGCCAAAGTTACAGTCCTGCCGTAAGCAAAAATAATAGACAGAATTAGCCCGATCAGTATTACAATGGCAAGGAATTTATTGCCTATTCCACTAAGAAAAGATATCAATATTTTTTTAATATGTTTAGCTAGTATTTTCAGGGGAAGTGCAGGATTAGCACTAGTTGTTTACTGTTCGTCATTAAAAGAATTGGCATAGTCAATTAGACTTTTAGTAAATATGGAATTCTGGCTTATGGACATTAGCATTGAATCTATGTCGTTAGAACGCGGTACGTCGTTCTTGAAAAATTTTGACAATGAAGTAAGATAATTTGTATTGTAAGGATTTATTTTCTTAGTTGTTAGGTAAGGGTGAATTTTCTTTGGGTTTGTGGTTTTGTTTTGTAGAATTCCCTTTTGATAGCTATAATAAGTGTTATTCATTTTAAAGGTAACGAACTCCTGTGGTTCGGTACTATAAGAGTTTATACCTGGAAGAATTCTTCCAGAAGACAAGTATTGGGCGATAACTGTAGCGTTAGTGTTATCAGTATAGTTAACTAAGGGACGAGTAGAATATAACTCGTTAGGTAATATTAGACTATTTAAGAGACTCGCTTTTATGGGTTGACACAAAAGGGTGCCCAGCACGTCGCCTCTGTTGACCGCAAAGAGATTATTTGTTCCCAAAATTTCGTTCAACACATCCGACGGGTACGTTTTCGCTAAAACGCTATAAATTTTAGATAATATTCGTTCGGTCTCACATTCCAATTTAAAGATTTGGCTCTGTAATTTCGCGGACAGAGCGGTTTGTGAGTCTGCGACATTTTGTATCATCAACGTTAATGCCGTCGAAATGTCTGCGTGATCAGCAAACTCACGTAACACGTTGACTTTCTTTAATAAACTACAATTCTTGACTTGAACCAAAAGTTCGTTTTCAAGGCAGAAAATACTGCCAAAGCAATCAGTCGTTAATTCGTTACACACTGAAAAGGAATGAAAGGTCATATGTAAATCGTTTAGTTCTACAGCATATATGTCATTAGTGTTGTTTACATGTGCAGTTAGCGAAGAGTTTATTTCCTCCATTTGGTTTGGACATTTTTCGAATTTTGCATCGTCAAATAAAAGTGTATAACTACCAATTTGGCAGGAAGATTGATTTACAGAGCAATTTGCGCTGTCAGCTAGAGGAAAAATAATTTTTGAGTTTAGATGGTCATACATTACATAGGATGTTAATAGGGCATTTTAGTAATAACGAAATCTATCCAATCAAAAAGGGGTTTGTTAATTCCCGCCAAGCTTTCAGTTATTATAAATCTCTCGAAAGTCATTTAAAGTTTAAACATTCAAATTCTTCTACCAATAATTCATCAAAATTGAAAGCCAAATTGTAACATCATAAATATACAAATGGAAAAGTACTATATCTTAGAAATAGAGTGAATATAAAAAAGAGTGAATATAAAAAAACTTAAAATTAAACAACATGATGAAGTACGTTTCTAAACATGTCTATTAGGTAGGGATACGCACTGGTATCTTTATTATTCGGAATAGAGCTGGTTTTATTTCTATTGGAGAAAAAACTTTGCCAATGCACTTTATTAATTATTTCGTATTTAACTGAATTAGTTTCAGAAATATCCAAATCTTGAAGTCCGAATTGTGGGTCGTTTTCGTCAACAAATCGACCTTTTGACATTTGTGGGGTAATATGTGGTAATTTATAATGATTCACCCCTAATTTAACTTACGTAATATCTATCCAATATAGACCAAACCCCACTAAGCAATACCAGTTACAAAATTACCATAACAAAATTAAACCACCAAAACAATAACAGGTACATAATTACAATAAGTATGACAGTAAGACAAAATTAAAAACGTACAAAACAATACTAAGTAATAAGATATAAAGACTTACTTACTGTTGTTAAGTATAATCCATAATAATCTTGATATTCGGCATCACCAGTGAATTAGCATTGTTGTATCAGAAGGTTGCGTGTTCAGATCACGTCGGGGTCACCAATGTAACTTCTGATGTCTTTGCTTTCTTATTAAGCGAATTAGATAAGTATCTGACTCCAAAAACAGAATATATAGTAGGTTACGTGTTCAATTTGAGATATCTGTTAATTTTATATAACAGTAAGGATCTGACCCATTTGCCTGTAAAGATTTTTATTTCCACAGATAATATATCACAATAAATTGACTTACAATAAAACACACTCACAATCGTGAAAACCAAGTCGGTGATGAATTAGCATTGTTGCATCGAAATTGAAATAGAAAAGCCGGTTGCTGTATCGAACGAATAGAAAAGCCGGTTGCTGTATCGAACGAATAGAAAAGCCGGTTGCTGTATCGAACGAATTGAAATAGAAAAGCCGGTTGCTGTATCGAACGAATTGAAATAGAAAAGCCGGTTGCTGTATCGAACGAATTGAAATAGAAAAGCCGGTTGCTGTATCGAACGAATTGAAATAGAAGAGCCCGCAAACCACGATCAAAATGTCTATTTAAACGGTAACATCTTTTTCATCTCGCTCGCCAAAAACGGTACCTTTCTTTATTATCCAAAAATCTCGTTTCCCACGGAGCAATTTTTGCTCATATCTAGAATGTTCGGTACCCTTCTTACAATAATTACACTTGTTTATAGGTTACCTGACATGGGAAATATCCATTTTCTCATACACGAGAAAGATCTAGACTCAATATTTCGAATGATCTAGAAAGATCTCTTCAATATTTCGGTTGTTTATGGGTCACCCGACATGGGAAAATATCCATTTTCTCATACACGAGAAAGATCTAGACTCAATATTTCGAATGATCTAGAAAGATCTCTTCAATATTTCGGTTGTTTATGGGTCACCCGACATGGGAAAATATCCATTTTCTCATACACGAGAAAGACTAGAAAGATCTCTTCAATATTTCGATTACGTCAATTATTATATAGAATTTGACTTCCATTATCCAAATTATTGGTTAATTTGTTACATGGTCGCATTGGCATGAATACATTTTGCTTTTTACATTTCGTTCTCATTTTATCTTATTATCATGTTTCCTCGACGTCCCTATTTTTGGGTTCATATCGATAGCAGCCCGACTACAGCAGTAGTTCACTTATTGCTAGATTGAATAAAAGCCGGTTTTCTTATAATTAATTTTTATCACTTTTAGTACGTTTATGCATTAGGACTTGGTGGGTAACCGAAAAAACTCCGTGGGTCACTCTGTGACGCGTATCAGTGGTTCGTCATCCCTGTTATGGGCATATTATATATATATATATTTGTGATGTGTACTTGATTGACTAGGCAAATTCGCTTACATTTAGTCCATGTTCTTCGGTGTTACTTCCCAGTAGGATTCTTTTTGATCGTAAATACGATAATATAATCATAGCCGGAGTTAACGGTAGGCCTATATGAGTATGGCATGACTTCCTGCACCCTGTCTGTGCGTTTTGCACATCAAGCTGAACATCCGGGACTTTCACTCAGTATTCCTCAAGTGTGATTGTCGATTTAGTTTTTCTGGAAAACATCCTTTTAAAACACGACAACTGGCAATCTTAGCATTGTATATCCAGATCAGTTTCAACGCATAAATTAAATTTGTTTGTCAAATAAGAGTAGCCTACTAAAAGTAAGTAAGATTCGATCTTACCCAGCAGACTTTAAAATAATCAATAATTAAACGCTTAAAAATACTGTTATCGTCGTGAAAATAGAAAAAAAAACAGAAACTGCCGGGTAATAGATAAGTTGTTTTTCTTTTTGATTGCTAGTGACTCATTCTCGTGAAATATGATTGCAAAAAAAAAAAAAAGATAAAAATCTTTATAAATCAAATAAATCTTTAATATGAAACGTTAAAAAAACTGTCTGCTATTGATTTTAAATATGAAACAAAATTTCTGTATCATAAGCAGATAATTAGCGCTTTGATTTCAACTATTTTGGCAATTTGCACATTCTAGGCTATTCATTATGCTCACCACCGAACACATGATGTAGCATACTTGCAGGTCCATCCTGAACCACAAAGCGAATATGCTCAGAAATATGGTGGCTATACATATTACATACACGTCAGTGACTTTTTGTTCGGAGGTTGCTGAAAAGAAAGAACCACATGATGAAAAATATTACTTAGGATTTAGCTCCATTATTATCGACCGAATTTTGCGTCGCAATTGAGGGTGTATTTCTGTCCAATAAAAATGTATCATCTTCATTTTCAGGTTGGATATCCACAACCAAATCTCGATTTTTCAAACTTTTTGACTCTCGCACTTTCTGGAGCAAAATACGGTCAAAATTCAACCTCCATAGCATCCCTGTTTTCCCTCGAAACCTTCCTTCCACCCGGTCTCGATGTCTACTACCGTTACCAAGGCTCTCTTACGACACCTCCCTGTCATGAATCTGTTACATGGACTGTTTTCCAAGATCCAATCTACATCCACGAAGACCAGGTACGACTACTTTATTTTTATGGAAAACGTCGAGCAGGAAAATGTGGTATGCCTTGTTGATGGCACAAGTATTTAGGCACCCACTGGTCTTACTGACTAGTACGTAACAAACTTGTAAAATTCGGTTTGCCTAAATCTTATCATGGTCCTTCGTAGTGACGATTATAAAATAGTCAGAACAAATTTAAAGCATCCCAAGCGAACAAACCAATGAATTTCATTAAAATTCGTCACATAAAAGGCTATTTTCATCATCCTAGATCTTTTTCTAAAACTCTAATTTCTTGCAGGCCGAAATTCTGGCTACTATGTTTTACGAAGACGATGGAAGCAAGGTAATGAAGAACAATTACCGTCCAATTCTGCCACTCAACGGTAGAAAAATCACAACTCCACCGCGTCTCGTAAGGTCCGGCGCTAGCGCTGTCAGCCCCACCATTATAGCCAGCTTGTTGACATGCATCATTGGTTATTTCATGTAGATTCTGCAACAACAAACAATAATAATTAATTCAGAACTGGACTTGGAATGATACATAAAACCATACACTTTTTCATTCAAAATTTAAATTACCCCCTTTATTAGTTAACAAAAAAATCGAACAAAAAAATTGCATTTGCATCTGTCCTTGTTGATTGAGCAAGCTTTGTGATTTTAATCGTAATTTTATTGCAAACTGTTATAATATAAAATTCTTTTTCGAACAACACACTTTGCGGGTAAAGTTAACAAAACAGACTGGTTCGCAAAAAAAGACAAATGACTTTAATCAATGAATATGATAATCTGTATCTTTGTAAGCATCCGAGTCCTGTATGACGATGCTGCAGCTCAAATTTTTAGCACTTCAGTACCCATGATTCCACTGCCGATTAGGTAATTTTGTAGAAAAAAAACGTCGATCTTTATATCTAGAAATATACCAATTCAATTATTTTGTTGTCTGTTGCAACTATTTTACATGTGGTAAAAAGTAGTACTGGTATAATGTAACGGAATTACACATTTATAAGAACCGAAGTTACATTTTGTGTTTTGCTTTACCTCAGCCTCGTTGCTTCATTGTAAACAATACCTACAAATGCCCATTTCATTTTGTTAACTTGCCACTTTAAAACTGAAGAACTTGATATATATTTCGACTGTTGGGTATTATATATATAATATATATATAAAGAGTGTAAAAATCAATTTCTTCATATACATTTTAGTAAGCTTAGACAGCGTGGCAGGTAGAAAAAATGATCGAGAGTAGTCCCTGATTCGTTTCGACATGACTCCAAGATTCCTTCTCAGAGGCCAGAGATGGCGAACCTTTTTAATGAATGGGTCAAAAATGTGAATTGTGGTAAATAAGACCTTGGGTCATAGTTATTTAATCAGAGTTTGCATCAATGAGATCCTTGCGATTGCATCTTCCCAATAATTCTTGTGACCTTTGGTTAGTATTATGTAGTTCTGAGCTTCTCATGCAGCGCTTGTATTGACTGAGGCGATTTCTGGTACTCGACTCTTAAATTCGCAAGCATACCATTTATAATTCTATGGCAACATTTGGCACTTTCAAAAAGTTCAGGAGGAAATTCCAGTCGGAGGTAATTATATATCTACTAGACCAGGGCTTCCCAAACTAGGGGCCGCGAAACGAATTCTAGGGGCCGCAAAGAGAACACCAATTTTACACAAAGTAATATATCAATTGTTCTTTTACAGACTCTTGATTCGAAATACAAATAATAGAAATAGTAATTATTAATAGTTTCTATCGAACAATAGGGCTCATTTTTTGGGGATGTAGATGATAACGAGATTTTTTAATATACAAAATATGAATACTGATTTTATTCACTAATTTAATAGCACGTTAATAAGATAAATAAGTTTAATTCCGTAAATTTGGGTTTCTGTAGATAAAGATTATTTTTTCCTGGTTCAAAAAGCGTTGCGTACCCCATCCCCATTGCGATTTCGTATTTAATTAAATCAGGCTTTTCTACCATGACCTAATAAATGTGATTTTACTGACTGTTGTTAGGTTTAGTTTGTTCGTTTATATGAAACTCATTGCAAAAAAAAGGTTATAGCACCATCACGAAATTTTGCGACGGCCTAGCTAACTTGAGACGACGCACTTTCATGGGACTAGGTAAAAAAATGAGCTATCGACGAAGTCTTTTTTAAGGGAAGCGCTTATGTTAATATCATTTCTTAAGTCCAGGCTTTGTCTTATTTTTTGGGAAACACGGTAGAATCCTCGCGCTTGCATAACAATGCATATTCTGATCGCAAGACCCGATTTACGTGCTCGCATAACAATGCCGAGTTTAACAGCTAAGCTAGCGGTTCCGGAAGGCGATTTACTAAGTGCGCCTCAAAACATATCACATATTTTAGTATTCTAAATGTTTTATTGTTTCCTATTAATGCAAATGATGTGTAGATGAATAAAATTCATTTTACCGTTCTCTGTTGTTTTCTTTCTGTTACGTTGGGTATATTGTTACATAACGGGTAAACCTTGCATGCTGCAATTTCGTAGGTCGCAGTTTATTCATTTCTGAACCGAGTTAGCGTACATGAGTGAGTTTTAAATATTTAAAAAAAAAACTAGGCCGAGTTAAAAAAGAGGGGTTAATTTTTTTCTTTTATTCATTAGGCTTACATGTTTATAGGCCTACATGCATTGTTGCCAATGGCCGCACGTCGGTATACTATAAACGTCCGTATTTCTAAGATTTGTCCTTATTTTGAAGGTCTTTGTCATAGAAAATATTTTCGTCCTTATTTCTAAGAAATGTTCTTATTTTGACATGTGTCCTTATTTTTGTTTTATTTTAGGGGTAGAAGTTCTTATACCGGGCACTTAGATTCGAATGATTGATTTGCCAGAAATGATATTTTAGAACCTACGTGCATTCATGACGTAATGACAGCAATTAATAGTCACAATGACAAAACAATATCCTACCGGCAAAGATCAGTTCGTGTAACTTGAATCAAAATCCAACTTAGAAGTGAGATGGAACAGATAGTTTATAACAATAAAGAACTGCTGTAACAAATTCTTTCTCGTCCAAAGTAAGATTAGACACGGGTCGCATTGGCATGAATACATTTTGCTTTTTACATTTCGTTCTCATTTTATCTTATTATCATGTTTCCTCGACGTCCCTATTTTTGGGTTCATATCGATAGCAGCCCGACTACAGCAGTAGTTCACTTATTGCTAAATTGAATAAAAGCCGGTTTTCTTATAATTAATTTTAATCACTGAAATTTTATTACGTTTATGCATTAGGACTTGGTGGGTAACCGAAAAAACTCCGTGGGTCACTCTGTGACGCGGATCAGTGGTCCGTCATCCCTGTTATGGGCATATTATATATATATATATATTTGTGATGTGTACTTGATTGACTAGGCATGTTCTTCGGTGTTACTTCCCAGTAGGATTCTTTTTGATCGTAAATACGATAATATAATCATAGCCGGAGTTAACGGTGGGCCTATATGAGTATGGCATGACTTCCTGCACCCTGTATGTGCGTTTTGCACATTAAGCTGAACATCCGGGACTTTCACTCAGTATTCCTCAAGTGTGATTGTCGATTTAGTTTTTCTGGTAAACATCCTTTTAAAACACGACAACTGGCAATCTTAGCATTCTATATTCTGGTCAGTTTTAACACATAAGCGAAATATCATCCTCAATACAAGGTCACTTTCATTGTATGGCGACCCCGCCACGGAATCTGGTAACGGAACCACATGAAGGCGCACTTGAGAATGGTCGTCTTCGGATGGATACTTGTCATTGTTTGAATTTTTGGCATTCAACTCATTTCATTCTGAAGTTAATTCAACATGTCTTCGTGCACTTCCCATTTTAATTGATTAGAAAAAGTGCAACCTCGTTCTAGTATTCAAATTTCGCTATAGAGTTTACTTTAATATCAGTTGATCAGTAATGGTTTTATCGCTCATTACTTTTGAACACCTGGGGCTCTCTGGTCTTAAATTTGTGTCTATTTCATAATCAGTATGGTATTCATTTTGAATTTAAATATTCATGACAGTTCACCCCATTTTCAAGATGTTTGAACCATAAGCAGCATAATGTAAAACTAACAAGCAAAGACACCGAAACGCTAATCCCGACCTGCAACTCAGACTAGAACCATGCCAACTGTTATATATTGCACAAGATTTGAAAAATCACTCCATCAATACAATGGATTCACGTGAGACGAATGGGTAATTGTTGATGAGTGCGTATGATGCTAAGATGAAAAGACGTTTGTTTTCATATTTGAATAAAGAAATCCAGAGTCAGTCGAAGAATTCAGTTATCAATTTTCATATAAATTTTAATTGATTTTAGTCTTTGTTGATTTTGACACAATAATATAAAAATAACAAAAATATACAAAAAAAGTTCGGTCGTCTTGAGAGTCTTGACGAAATCGGAAGACTCGGAAATATTCAAAAGTCGCGTTACTTGAAGAGTGCTTCTCACGCTTTGTTCAAGATTTTGAAACGACAAAATTGTGTTTCTGTTTGCTCTAGGAAAAACATATTAGCAATTCTGGTCAAAAATTCTTTACTAAACTGGATGACGCCTTTAGAATGAGGTTCAAGTATCCACTTCAGTCGAGTTTTAGTGTTTCCTAGCTCACATCGCGTCAAAAACAATCAATAGAACTGTGAGATATAGGTGTGGCTTTACAGTATTATCTCATTTGGTATAAATATTTTCATTGAATGGTTCACAGCATCCAGGTTCAATATAAAAGCAAGATTTTTTCAATTTGTTAATTAGAATTAATATGTGTGGTAAATGGATATATATATATATATATATTTGCAAAATATAAGATTATAGAAGAAGCGAACAATATAGAATTAGGTCGAAGAGGATTAATTTTTTGATTGAATTTTAGATGAAGGTAGACCGCAGTTCTCACAAAATGAGCCCAAATTTTTATCTTAATTAATGCAGGAGTCATCGTGCTTTAAAGGAATTCTAATGGGAAAATTGTAACGTATATGTATCGGCAACATGTCAAGCAAAAGAGACAACCCAATGTAATCCACCGAGTTGGCCATTCCTTCCTAATTGCATTAGTATATTTTGTTATTGAAAATATAAGTTGAAAAATAAATTCTTCCTCGACTTGAACACAAAATTAAAAATACTGCAATTTCTTGTTCAATTTATTAGCAAGTATATATACTCTACATCAGTTGGGATTAAAAATTGAAATGATGGCCTCTATGTCAACCACCCAATTTTATTTGATGTTGATAACAAGTGAGTATATTTATATATATTCTTAGTAATCATGTTATATGATATTTTTTTATTCATACATCTAGTTTTTTCCGTTTTTATTGTTAAATTTTCTCTTTGCAAACTATCGAATGATGTCAGATCACGAATTCTACCCGAATAAAAATTAAAAACATGTGACAATTTTATTAAGAATCTATTAAGAATTTTTTATTATTTTTAATTTTTTATTAAGAATTTATTAAAATATACTTATAATTATTATATTAAAATAATTAATAATTCTTGGAATAACTTGAATATTTAGGTATATATAGTGATTCGTAAAGAATTGCTCGCCAAAACGTTTTCTTACTTAGCTCACAGAAAAATCACTACTAAAACAGCTTGAATTTAACAAAGTTTCTGAAGTTAACACAATATTGAATAAAGTCGCATAAATATGTGGTTAATTGACAATATTCAAAACTTCAATACAAAATATTGCAAAAGTGTCCCGAAAATAGAAAGACATCGGTGTTTTCTAACAATTCTTTTGAAAGTGTTTAACACCGCAAAACTAAAAGATTTACTAAGCTTAATATCTACTTAAAATTTATGAATAAAAGATATTAATTGATAAATAGGGAATTGAAATTGAGGAACATTTCGTAGGAGAAAAATTCATTTTTTAAGTTAACATTGTACTCTTTCAGCTATTTTGCTAGTTCTTTCTGGAAATGTCTCCTCTGAAGGCGACGAAGCAACAACAGCTTCACCAGCTAATCAAGATGAAGTAAAGCATTCACCTTTTTATTTGTATAAAGTTTTACATGATTCATTAGGTCGTACTATATTCCATTACTGAAATGGGGAGATGGGAATCGATATGTCATTTAAGAATAGAATATGGCCCACGGTAAAGTCTTCATAGTCAAAATTTAGTTAAAATCGCAAGTCGGAATCGGAGACAGATTTTCTTATGTGGGAATGAGAGACCAAATCGGAGTCTAAAGTCTTTAAAAGTAGCTGTGATTGGAATTTTGGGTAGTTTGTCGTAATCGAGATCGGTTGGAAATCTCCAATTCTAACAACCAATAAAAATCCGTATAGAACAATCGATAATATAATCCATTATCAGAATAAGTGACAAAGAAGAGCACGCTTTTTCCTTAAACGAATGTGTGTTTCAATTGTTGAGTTATTATAGAGTATATATGTATATTAGAAGCTTAAAATAAAGTGAAATTGATATATATATAGAAACGAATCTTTTTTGAATCAGTAACTTCCAACCTTTGAGTACTTCTCTCATTGGATGACAGTATTTAGTTAGTAGCGTCAGCTTTGAATAATATTTCATTATTTGCGCATTTTGTCATAATATCCAGATAATAAAACATAAAAATACATTTTCAGAAAATGAATTGCTACCAGTGCAATGCAACAGATACCTGTGAAGTTGAACAAAATAAAGACAACAATTCTTTCACCGATTGTGGAGAAAAGCATTGTTGGGTAGCTATTTTTTTGCACAGTCGTAGTCGGTCACGCTTCCAAGTTGAAAGAAGTCATTGGGCCAAAAGTTGTCACGTTAAGCCATCTTATAGGCTTTATTCTCCCTCGGACTAAATAGGAAATTCCTACCCTACGTGAAATCAGTAAATATCGACAATAGTCGCTTTCTAGATGTTAATGTAGAGTCCTATTCAAAGTGATGGTGGTAAGCATGATAAAGATTCATTAACCGATAATTGAAAGTTGATATACGATTAAACCTCTAATAAAATCCTAATATCACAGACTTGGAAGACCGAAGATGGAGATGACGTAACCTACCGACGTGATTGTGGTGATGTATGTACTGATGACACGAAAGAACTGGATTGTAAAACCAGCAACAACCGTACGGAATGCGGTAAATGCTGTTCTGATGCCTACTGTAACAGTGGACTTCTTAACGCAGGATTTAGACTGGCTGCAAATGTGTCGCTGTTTTTGGCAATTTTGCCCATCCTTGCTGTACACTTGCTGTGAGATATTTCATATCCGTGCTGATATTTCTTGACATGACGCACACGTTTATTTCAAATATAATTCTCGTACTCGAATTCTACAGTCTAAATAATACCAAATAAACTTAACACTGGCAAAGTTATTGAAGATGGATCACCCAGGAAAAAACTGAATGTTATTGTTTCAAGTTTTGGGAATCGATAAAGCGTGATTTCATCTAAGACAAAAAATATAAATTGCCTCTCATTATAACAATCGTTTTTTTAAATGTCCCATAGACTTAGTTTTGTTTTAAAATTAATTGCCAAAGATCGTTTTTACCTTTTAGTCAAATATAAGCCAGTTCATAATTTAATGTATAATGGATATTGCAAGTAGTGATTTTAAACATAAGCATATCAATTGAGACCAGGGATTTATTTTCCAGGCACTTAGTAATAATATATGATTACATGTGATGTATTTGATGTAACCCTTCATTACTACCACCATATTACTATGTATAACAGCTTATTTACCGAATAAAATGATGAATAAATGAATAAATATCTGATAGCGTTTCATGTGCACTATATAAGTAGGTATAGCACTCAGCATACGTCGAATAACAACTCTAAATCCTTATCAACAGAGAATCGTCAAGCGCAATCATACGTAGTTCATTAGCTCATGGAGCGCTCCTGTTTCGCGAATAAGTTTGTAAACCCACAGAAGATTCAATGTGCTGCGAAGGCACAAAATAAAAACGATAGTAAATAACCTCATCGCCAAGAAAAATTGCATGGATTGCACAGATAAAACAAGAGAGCTAAGCGCAAATATATTACGAACACGAAAGGCGAAACGTAATCGATGATCCAAATTCAACGTGAATTAAAATACCAACTGGTCCGAGTCACTTCCGTATCAGCAGATCAGGTAGCTTACCGTTCCCCATAAAAAAATAAAAAAAATTTTCGCTAAGCACGAGATCCGCCGACGTTCGTTCGATGAGCACGAGATCAGCTGATATGCCAAACCGCCATTAAGTGCACAAATTTGATGACGCCAAGCACCCAAAAAACGAATGCCAAAGAGCTCACAGACATTTTAGAAATATATAAAAGAAATAGCCTTCTAGCAAAAAATACAATCTTTAACCATTGAAAATTTTAAAGCAGTTGGACAGTAATTGAAAAAAAGCCGATTTTTTCATAACGATAGGAAGAAAGATTTTAACGACAAGAACAACATAATACCAAAACGATCCATAGGTCCACTCCGTGTCCAAAAATACAGAACGAAAGAAATGCGTCCCATCTTAACAGCAGTCAGACAAGAAGACTGAGGAAATGCTAAAATGAGGTCACGTGGGCAAGGTGCTTGGGGCCAGCTATTTCTGTCTTATGTGTGAGCGTACAGAGACACAAAAATATAAATCTAGTTCTCACCGGCTGGAGAAAATACCACCCATGCCTTCAGTAGTTGCCTGTTAAGGTCATATTTGAGCGTGGACATCTAGTAGAAGGTGATGAATATCCTCATTTTCTTGGGCTTGCCGAAAAGAGCATACTCCGAAGTAAATGTGTGTTTGTACACTTCCACAGCTCTTATATAGCAGAAATATCTCGGATATATCGACTCTTTGGTTTGATAATACACGAACATTATACTCACTATACTGTTATCATTCAAATGGCTTAAGATAACATATCCTTCGGCACTGGGTGGCGTTGTGGAGAGAGTGAATTTGCGAGCTCAAACCATTGGGTCGAGGCTGGGAAAACTAAGCAACGCTTGATTTTCACTATTTCTTTGAAAATCCTCAATTTGAGATATTTTACATATGAAAATTTATTCTTTAAAAACCAAATATTAATTTTTAACAATTCACAAGAGAGGCTGCATTCAATAATTGCGTTATAATATAATTCAGGGTTAGGGATGACGGAATCGACTCCGGAATCGATTCTTTGTGGAATCGACTAGAATAGATTTTGATGCATTGGAATCGATTCTTAGGGTTAAAAGTTCGTTGCAAGCACGGTATAACGTTTTGTGTCAAGTCCTTCACATAAATGTATAAACTGCTATGTGGAGTTTCTACGACGCCGCTAACTTCAGTATATTTTTACACTCTCCTAACTTATCAAATATCGCAGTTTTCGCCCAAAAATACCTCTGTGTCCCAGCAACATCCGCTGCACCAGAAAGAGCATTGATCTTAGCGGGGCTTACCGTCTCCAAATTACGATCCAGACATGTGAACGAATTGAAGTTTTCAAATTGCAATAAATTTTCGCTATGACAGTAATTTTTTCAACTTGAAGCGGACATATAGATCGTTTTGTTATTATGTTGTTGTTGTTAGAATTCATTTTCTTGTTCTTGTTATGAAAAAATATATTTTCTCATTACCAACTGGACCAATCGCTTTGAAATTTTCAGTGGTTGAAAATTTTATAGGGCTATTGCGTTTATGTATTTCAACAATTTCTTTGGGCTATAAGGGATACAATTTTTTGTATGTGTGATTTGGTCTGATGTGACAGATTAAATATCCATCCATACAACTTAGTTTATAGCAAGGGTTTCCAACCTTTTTATCTTAATTTCCCACTTACGATTAAGGCTGGGTCATTATTTCCCACTACATAGTGACTCCCTTAACAAGAATATTTTTTTTGTAAAAAGGGTAAAACTTCCTGTAATAAAGGCTTTGCAATTGGTGCAGAAGTTAAAACCCTGCGAGAACATTCATTGCGCATCTAGCATCTCAAGATAGCGACGATCCGTGTAAAGAAAACTAGTGTTTTTCATCGAATAGAGCAATTCAACGTATAAGCTTACAAAGAACACACCAGAGTTTACATTGTACCATCAATTTAAAATTTTTTTTTCTCGATATGATAAACTATTTTTGAAAAAGCGCATTTTTATTGGACCAATGACATTAATAAATGTCATTGATTGGACAAAGAGACCTGTTCGTCTTCGACGCCGCAGAATATCAGCACACTCTGCCAAACTTGATTTCATCAATCTCTCACCAATGTGTGGGACTTTTTAGTCCTTGCTATTCGCCGGACGAATGCATAAGACGCAGTCACCTTACAAATTATTTGAAATTGCGGTCGAATCTCATCTTGCTTTAATTTTACGATTTTTTTAGCATACTTATAAGCAAATGGATATTTGAAATATGTTGCTTCATTTGATGGGGCTCCATATGACCATTAGAGATGATCTTAGGGTAAACAACGCATTGCAGAAGTTGCTCAAATTTTTTTTTACAAACATGAGACATAGCCGAGATAACTATGATCGTATTTCTTTTTACGTTAGTCATAATTACCTTTTATTAAAAGATGATCAGAATGAGGGAGCGGGCCAGATATTCGTTCATCAGAGCGTATGTCTACCCAATATCTCAGAGACATTTGAAAATAGAGTGCAACGAAAATCAATCGAATATCATGGCCAACATCGTGATATTTTACCAAATTTTCGATTAATTGAATGAGAATCTTTTACCGCCTCATGGCTTATATTGTGAGTTTCATTGTGTAGTATATAATATTTGTGTTATTGTGCGTATATTTTTAGAGGGGCATTCTATTTCCCACCAGCAACACTCAAATTTCCCACTAGTGGGAAATTTCCCACCGGTTGGGAACCACTGGTTTATAGGCTTTCGCGTGCATTTATTCCAACATCGCTCTTGTGTTTGATTTCATATGTTATTGTTTAAGTGGGTATGTTTTCTCGGCAAGATATGTCGAGGAATCGAAAATCGGAGTCGACAATTTAGGAATCGTATACTACAGAATCTACATCCTTGTTCAGGGGTGGCCACCACGTGGATCGCAATCGACAGGTCGATCGCCACGTCTTCAGTAGTCGATCGCGTCTTGATGTTGGGCGAATTCAATAACCGTACCTCTACAAATTAATTGAATCAGTTTTATACGGCGTCTGTTGTGTGTTTTAAAACAGGGAGAATACAGCACTGTTTTAATGTTTTTCTTTACTGTTCACTCCCGTTTAGAAAATCGATCAATTTGGCAATGGCAACCATTAAAAAATTATAAATATGGTGTGGCAAGCAATTTTTATTTATTGTTTTCTTTTACCATTTTTGTTTAATATGTCATTTATCTCAAGTTTATCGCGTTTTTCTTACTTTATATTACCTCTGTGGTTGTGTGTGCGTGTGAATTAAATTATTAAAGTGCCGAGCTTATCGGCAGCGGTGGAATTTTTTGTATGCGTGTGTGTGGTCATCTGCATATTCAGAACCCATTCTTTTTTGTGAATGACCCCATTACCAATCAGTCGATTGCGAGCTATTTTAAAGATTTTTGTCGAAAGCGGGTTGGTCAAACCCGATATAATTGATCAAAATGACCGCAGAAAAGGTACCAGCATATATAGAGAAACATTAGTGCATGTGGATGACATTGACCATGCGCCCGGTGTCTTTTGTGTTGTATGAAATGTCACATATTAGCAACTCCAGTTTTGCATTGAGAAGGCAACTCGAACTAAATTTCTACTTCAACGACCCTAATCGCGTCCTTGGTCCTGGAGTATTTACAAAGCTAAGTTTATTTTGGCCACGATGGCGTGACATCTTCTTTGTTAATTTCGCAATAAAGTCATGGTGAATGCAAGGTCAATATCGAACATCCACAAAATTTGCCAAAGCTTTGCGAGGGCATTCATTCAAAACGTTCACAAATAACAAAAGTCGTTTGCTCGTAACAGGGAAACGAATGACTGCACACAAAAGAAAACCAGGAATGTAAACGAAGTAACAATAGTAAAAAGTAGTTTTCATTGCCCAACGTTCAAAAACAGTAAAGTCATACAACCACAACAGACAGGGGTCTTGCAGTACATAAAAATATGAATACACAATACATAACGGCTTAGTATATGACAAATATATCTACCTACTTCCCAGTGCGGGTATAGAAATGGGCACTAGAACGGAATCACCGGCAATGTGTTACGTTCAAACTAAGCCAAAATTCATGAGGAACTAGTTTCATATCACACTGGATTTGTTAACCATTTGACTGACGATTCAAAAGACAGTATATGCCTAAGCCCACGGTCTCGACATTAAACTACTAATCATTTTAAATTGTGATATATATAAAGGCTTGTTCTAGAATAAAATCGGTTCAAAATTTCATAAACGAATATTCGTTCAATTTTTCAACGTTCTATAACACTTGTCCCAAATATTTATTGTTTAAAAGAATAAAAAAGTAAACACGGTCGAATGAATGAGTTTATTCACATTAAAAAGAACTACATCAACCCTAAAAAACCATTCATGACGCAATACTGCATTTTACGTAACGCGGAGCAGCCGTTATGACGCCACAATGTATTATTCTTTACGGAGTCTTTAAATAAATGGGTCGGAGGCCTCTCAATGTCTAAATCCGGACCTATATATTGCACAGGATTTTCTATTTTGGGCACGATTGATCACCTCCAG